TTTTTTTTTTTTTTTAGGAAAGCAGGATTTATTTATTTAATCCTCACCCAAGGATATTTTTTCATTGCTTTTCAGAGAGAGTAGGAGAGAGAGAGAAACATCAATGTGAGAGAGACACATCAATTAGTTGCCTCCTGCATGTACCCTGACGGGCCAGGGAACGAGCCTGCAACTGAGGTATGTGCCCTTGGCTGGAATCGAACCTGGGACCCTTCAGTCCACAGGCCAGCGCTCTAACCGCTGAGCCAAACCAGCTAGGGCCACTCTCTAAAAATCAATGGGAAAAATATATTCTCAGGTGAGGATTAACAGCAACAAAAAACAACAGCTGTAAGTGGTCTTCCACCTTTTAAGTGAAGCTTAAGGACCAACCTCCTTCCACTTGTTGATAGAGATTTGAGCAATAGTAGGGAGGATCAGAGTAGAGTGTTGGACAGACTGCTGGCAGTGAGGAGGCACAGCCTCACACATATACACTTCTGAGAAGAACTAGGTTATGCACTGGGACTAGGTTTTGTTTTTTTTTTTAACTTTATTTGGGAGTAATTTTAAGTTTACAGAAAAGTTGCACAAAAGATAGTACAGAGTTTCTGTATACCCTTCACCTAATACCCCCTGTTGTTGCCATCTTGCATTACTGTGGTACATTTGTCACAGCTAAGGAATCAACCCTCTGTACATTTCTATTAACTAAACTTCAACTTTATGCTGATTTCACTGGTTGTTCCCTAATACCCCTTTTTGTTCCGGGATCCCTTCCAAGATACCATATGATATTTCGTATTCAGGTCTCCATAGCCGCCTCTGGTCTGCGCCAGTTTCTCTGACTTTTCTTGTCTGTCATGACCAGTGCCAGTTGGGTATTCTGTGGAAAGTTCCTCAGTTTGGTTTTGTCTCATAGACTGGGATTATGGGTTTTTGAGAGGATGGTCAGGTGGGACATTTTTTAATAACTGATGATGAACTTGCTCTGTATGGGAATTGCTGGCTCTGTATAGTGTATGCTGATTGAGAAGACATTGGGGCAGGGACCCTGGTGCCCCTGTTCCAGCCCCTGGTACCTTTTTCTCTAGCTGTTGGATCCCACCCAGTTCAACCCTGGTGTCAGCTGCCCCACCCAAGCATCTTGACTTAGCCCTGCTGAGTGGGTGCCAGCTCTCACACTTAGCTCCGTAGCCCTTCCAAGCATATTCTAATTTATGGGAGGTGGGTCGTCAGTGGCTGCCTGTGAGCCCAGGTCTTGGCACCCTGAGCTTGCTTTTGTGCCCACCCCTGACCTGGATCTGTGGCCTCTCCAGCTTCAAAGTGTCCTCCAGCATCCAGGTTTCCCACCCTTTTCAGTTCTTGGGGTGGGGCTGCTGGGGACTCTTTTACAGTTCGGAAGAACCAGACTTGGGGAGTGAGGTGGCAATTGCAGGCAGGTTGCATCACCCTGGCTCTTTGATAGGGAGGCAGGGTGGAGGGATTCTCTGGGGGCCCAGGCACACCTGGCAACAGGCTCCTGGTTAGCTGGAGCCCTGGATCTGGGAGAGGCTCTAGCACAACAAGGAAGGGTTTTGGGGAGAAGGGAGCAGCCACCTGTGCAGGACCCTGAAAATCTGAGACACAAGGCCAAGAAGGAGCCTCAGATCATAGAGGCTAATTCACTGGTCCTGCAGTGCTCAAGGTTGAGGCCCCAGGAGATGAAAGGTGTTTACACAGTCACGCTGCTAGTTAGAGCCCAGGCTACCCCAACACTTCACAGCTTCCAAGGGCCTCTGCTCCTCTCAGATCTGACCCTCCAGCCCAGGGCATAGCCTGCTGGGAGGCCACCAAGCCTGGGCCTTCACCTCATGTTTGTTGTTACTCAATTGCCAGATTCTATTGACTCTGACTTGCCTCTCACCATCCCCCCTGCCCTAGAGGATGCCCTCCTCACCTGTACTATTACAACAACCTCCTCACTGGTTTCATAATTAAGGAGACAGTCTGGCATGATGGAAAGAGCACCGAGTTTGCATCAGATGGACCCAGGTCCCAGTCCTGAGCCCACACCACTTAGTCCTGGCTGGGGGTAGAAACACCATCCTTACTCTGCCAGAGCCTCGGCTGCCTTCTGCAAAGTGGCTCAGGAGCCAACCTGCTAGGTTCACATCCCAGCTCTACCACTTCTGTGACCTTCAGCAAGTGGCATCTTCTCCTGTGACAGTTTTGTCATCCGTGAAGTGGGGGTAAGAGAACCCATCTCACAGGGCTGTTGTAAAGAAATAGGTAAGTGTATGTGAAATTGTTAGAACGGGACCTACCTAGTTATGCACACTGGTTATTTCTCTTTAAGGCTTGGGGTGCCAGGAGGATTGTGTGAAATGGTGTAGGTAAAGTTAAAGCCCAACTACCTCATCTCCACGTGTTTGTTTCTCTTCCTGTCCCCACCACACTTTGTTCTGCTTTCATAGCTGCCTCACAGATGTTTGTGTACATGACTGTTTCCCTGAGCACTTAGAAGGCAAGGTCATTCCCAGAGTCATTCCCCACAGCCCACAGACCTGTATTGCTGCCTCAGTAGGCATCAGTTCACTTTTTATTTTTTTTAAAATTGATTTTAGAGAAAGAAACATCAATGTGAGAGAACATCGATTGGTTGCCTCCCGTATGCACCCCACAAGGGATCGAACCCGCAGCTTAGGTATGTACCCTAACTGGAAATCGAACACACGATGCTTTTGGTATACAGGGCAGTGCTCCATCTGACTGAGCCACCTGTCAGGGCAGCATTAGTTCACTTTTAAATGAGTTACTCATGCATAGAGGCTGGGGAATTCAATACTGTTGCCCCGCCTGGCCGAGCGTGGCTCAGCGGTTGAGCATCAACCTAGGATCCAGGCGATTGGGGTTCGATTCCAGGTCAGGGCACATGCCTGGGTTGTGGTCTCAATTCCCAGTCAGGGGCGTGCAGGAGGCAGCCAATCAATGACTCATCATTGATGTTTCTATCTCTCTCTCTCCGTTTCCTTTCCTCTCTCTGAAATCAATAAAGATATATTAAAAAAAAAAAAAAAATACTGTTGTCCCTGAAGAGGCACTAGGGCAGGTATCTGGGTTATGTAGGCCAGAGGGGAAGGGTTGGAGGTGGGCGTCCTGGCAAACAAGGACAGGAAGGCCAAGGCCAGTTCACTTGGGGAAAGGGCAGCTTAGCGCACAGATCTGCCACGTGGCCTGTTGGCTCAGAGTCCTCCTGAGCCCCTTCCCTTCCCTCACTCCTTCGCCTTCCTCAGCAGAAGTAGCCACAGCTCTTAGAACCTAGTTAGGCCCTGCACTGCTGCACCGACTCTGACTCCCTCAGTGATCTTCTATATTAGTTTCTGTACTCGCAGGTATGGGGACGGGTGGAGGATATTGATCAAGAGATCTTAGCTTTGCTGGTTATGCTCAAAACAGTATTTTCAAGAAAGGACTGATGTATTAATTGTGTAGTTAAAATTTAAATGTTAAAAATGCAGTTAAGTAGAGGGGGGAAATCTTTGAATACAAGAGAAAGAAACAAAACAGTTCTTGGCAAAAAAAAAAAAGTAGGGCCCAGCACCACAGTACTCCTCAGATCTCTTCCTGTCATATTATTTTATATTGAGTGGTGGTTCTAGAATCTTCCTTAAGATCTACTCTCCTGGTCATGTTTTTAACTTTTCTATGTGTGTCTTGCCTGATTTGATTTCCCCATGGGGAAATTGCTGTTTGTCCCACCACCTGAGCTCCTTCGGGTACAATTCCGGGCCTCAGGAGCAGGAAAGAGAATGTAATTGCTAATTAGATGAGAAATGACTTCTTGGGGTAGAGAACATATTTTCAAGGGAAGAAGAAAGGAGAGGGAAGGTTGAGAACCTATGAGTCCAAGAAGCATTTAGGTACCAGCTTGAGACAGCCTTGAGGAGCAAGTGGTGTTGGTGTCTGGCCACGTCAGCTCCCCTCGGAGAGCTTGTTTCCTCCTCTTACACCACAATGTGGGATTTATTTGAGCGATTGTTGTTTTCATGTCTGCTGGACTATAAGCTTCATGAAAATGGTCTCCTCTGTCTTGTTCACAGCCATATTTTCAGGGCCTTGAGCAGTGCCTGCACACAGCAAGTGCTCAAAAGTATTTGCTGAGTGAATGTTAACGCTGCACAGAATTTGTTTACTGTCTCTGACCCCACCTTGCCTTTTTCTCTTTGTTGCTATCACTGTAGAGTAGGGCTGAGTAGATATTTAAGTTAGGGGTTGGGCCTGGCCGGGCGTGGCTCAGTGGTGAGCATCAACCTAGGATCCAGGCGATCAGGGTTTGATTCCCGGTCAGGGCACAGGCCCGGGTTGCGGGCCGATCCCCAGTTGGGGGCGTGCAGGAGGCAGCCGGTCAATGACTCTCTCATCATTGATGTTTCTCTCTCTCTCTCTCTCTGAAATCAATAAAGATATATTTAAATAAATAAGTATAAAATAAAGTTAGGGGTTGGAAGTGGCAACAGAACTAGAGAGAGAGAAGGTGAGTGGACTGGGTCGAGGCTGGAGGTGACAGCAGAGAACCCTGGTCCTCAGCTGGGGACAGGTTGTGTATGTAGGTCGGAATCCCAGGTGGCTCTTTCTCTGACTTCCCTGGGTTGGGAAGGCAGGCAGATGTGGTTTGAAAAACTTGGGCAGTGTGGCACAGGCTCTGCCAGTAACTCCCTCAGTGACCTCAAGGAAGTCCTGATATAGTGTAAAATCAGCCAAGGGAGAAGGCACACAGGGCGGCACAGTCCAGGAGATCCAGGCACCAACTTCCATTGTCTCTTCCAGTGGAGTCATAAAGACAGCGCTTAATACTCCCAGCAATGGGTGTGACCATATACAGACTATTGTCCACACAGTAAACCTTGCTGTCCAGGGTTTTTATTAAACACCAAGCTGCACAGCCCTCCTTCCTCACCAGCTTCCAGAAGCTTTCCCCAAAGTGGAAATGTGGGCATGTACCTGTGTGTGGCAGCAATGACAGTGAGCACCTTAACTGGCGCCCTACCATTGGCCATACTTAAGCACAGTAGCTGCCACCCCGCTTTCCTAATGAGGGAACTGAGCCTCGGAGAGGTTTACTGTCCCTTGCTTGAGATTGGAGTGCAAAGGAGTCACAAGGTCACACCTCACTTTCATCAGACACTTTCTCCTTCCCAACTGTGTTAGTTCTGTGACTGCTTTCATAGTTTATCACAAACTTAGTGGCTTTAAAACAGTGCACGTGGATTCTCTTAACTTTAGATCAGAAGTGTGAAATTAATCTCATTAGGCTAAAATCAGGTTGTCAGCAGGGCTGGTTCCTTCTGGAGGCTCCAGGGGAAAATCTGTTTCCTGGCCCTTTCTAGCTTTTAAAGGCCACCCAAATTCCTTGGCTCATGGCCTCTTCCTTTGCCTCCAAGTTCAAAGTGCATCACTCCCATCTCTGCTTCCATTATCACATGATCTTTTTTCTAGTCAAATATCTCTCTGCTCTATTTTATAAAGACGCTGATGGTGGCATTTAGGGCCCATTGTTTAATCTATGGATGCTCAGAGTATGACCATTTACCCAAAAACATTTCTATCCCTGCACCCTCTGACCCTTTTGTCGTCAAGTAACCTTTGACTTTCTGGCTAACAGGTGGCTCTACTCAGCACTTTTTCAGTTAGAAATTACAGAAATCCAGTCAGTTTAAACCAAACAGGGATGTTCTGGCTCATGAAACTTTTGGGGGATAGAGGGTGGGAACATGGGCTGAATCCTTCTGGGCTCTTTTTCTCTCTCCCCGCCCCCATCACTCTTTGGTGGTGGCTCATTGTCTTCCGCTGCAGGTGGGAGAGGATGGGGGGTACCTCAGGTGCACATCCTGGGTGCCCTGCACCTGCAGATAAAGGAAGCCATCTGCTTTCAACACCTGGGGAGAAATCCTAGGGAAAGTCTCTGGTTGGCCCACTCAGGTCTTCATGTTTTCATGAATCCAATCAATCACTATGGCCAAGGGCTCTGTCCATAAGTCCTCTGATTGAGCACTTGGGTCTCATGCCCACCCCTTAGTTAGGAGGAGGGTGGGGTCGCTCTGTCCTCCTAAATGTGAGGAATGTGCACGGAAGGGGCCCTCCCACACAGTTCAGCTTTCTAGGGACTGTTTCTTTGAGGTCTAGAAAGGGGCTCAAGGAGGCACCCTCTACCCTCTGGCAGGCAGCAGGGAAACCTGAGAAGCAGGTCCTAGAGGTGTTTGGTGTGCTTCTGGTCCCACTCGCCAAAAGCTCCCTGCCTTGCGGGGGGAGGGGGGGCGCGGGGGGCTGATGTTGCTTCAGGTGCCTGCTCTTCACCTCCTCCCCATGCTTGTGCTGAGCACAGCTCTGCACCTCCCAAGCACATCTATCTCCCAGCGCCTCGCCCTCCGGCTCCTCCTTTCCTAGTTGATTTAACAGAGTCTGGTTAGGAAGAGGAATGTGTCCACATATTAGGATTATCAGTTCCACCGCCCGCCAAGCCGTGCTTATGCCAGTGAGATTGCCTTTCCAAAACTGCCATCTGATCATGTCACTTCCTCTGCTTTAAAAATCTTCCCAAGGTTGCAGACAACGCTGACGGATTTGCTTTGGGAGCCGGAGTAGCTGCTGCCACCAGAGTCTGGAGCCATGAGTGGGTTTAATTTTGGAGGCACTGGGGCCCCCACAGGCGGGTTCACATTTGGCACTGCAAAGACAGCAACAACCACCCCTGCCACCGGGTTTTCTTTCTCTACATCTGGCACTGGCGGGTTTAATTTTGGGGCTCCCTCCCAGCCCACTGCGAGCACCCCTTCTACCAGCCTGTTCTCACTCACTACTCAAGCGCCAGCAACACAGACTTCAGGATTCAGTTTTGGAACCACAACTCCTACTGCTGGAGGAACTGGATTTTCCTTAGGGATCAGCACTCCAAAGCTAAGCTTGGGCAATGCAGCTGCCACTTCAGCCACAGCACAGCCTGCTGGCTTTGGGCTTGGCAGCAGCTCCCTCACCAACGCCATCTCTAGTACTGTCACCTCCAGCCAGGGCACAGCACCCACTGGCTTTGTGTTCGGCTCCTCCACCACCTCTTCTGCTTCGTCCACCACACCTGGGGGCTTCTCGTTCACAGGTGGGAACATGTCCCAGACTGGGGGGACCTCCAGTTTCAATATTAGTTCAATGGGGAGTTCAGCCCAGCCCACGACACTTGCTGGGTTGGCCTTCACCCCAGCCACACCAGCAGCCACTGGAGTGGGAGCCACACAGCCAGCTGCTCCCGCACCCACTGCTGCTGCCACCAGTGCTGGGCCCACACTCTTTGCCTCACTAGCTCCTGCTCCAACCTCGTCTGCCACCACTGGGCTCTCCCTTGGTGCTCCAGCAACCACAGCTGGAACTTCTGGGACTGGAATGCTAGGCTTCAGTTTAAAGGCTCCTGGAGCAGCTTCCACCACGTCCACAGCTACATCCACCACCACCACCACCAGCAGCAGTACCAGTAGCTTTGCCTTGAATCTGAAACCCTTGGCACCAGCTGGGATGCCCAGCAATGCGTCCACTGCCATAACCGCTCCGTCTGGCCCCGGTGCAGCCACTGGGGTGTCCACCAGTCCCGTAATGACCTATGCCCAGTTGGAGAGTCTGATCAACAAGTGGAGCCTGGAGCTGGAGGACCAGGAACGACACTTCCTGCAGCAGGCCACCCAAGTCAACGCCTGGGACCGCACGCTGATTGAGAACGGGGAGAAGATCACTGCCCTCCACCGAGAGGTGGAGAAGGTGAAGCTGGACCAGAAGAGACTGGACCAAGAGCTCGACTTCATCCTGTCACAGCAGAAGGAGCTGGAAGACCTGCTGAGCCCACTGGAGGAGTCTGTCAAGGAGCAGAGTGGGACCGTCTACCTGCAGCATGCCGACGAGGAGCGTGAGAAGACTTACAAGCTGGCTGAGAACATTGACGCACAGCTGAAGCGCATGGCCCAGGACCTCAAGGACATCATCGAGCACCTGAACACGTCCGGGGGCCCTGCTGACACCAGCGACCCACTGCAGCAGATCTGCAAAATCCTCAACGCACACATGGACTCCCTGCAGTGGATCGACCAGAACTCGGCCCTGCTGCAGAGGAAGGTGGAGGAGGTGACCAAGGTGTGCGAGGGGCGGCGCAAGGAGCAGGAGCGCAGCTTCCGGATCACGTTCGACTGAGCCCATGGCCAGCTATAGGACCTGCGGGTTCCCAAAGTTGTTCGGTTGGGAGGGGGGGTGCAGTTACTGTCCAGCTTTTGTTTGCAATGAAATACTTGTTTGATTGTTTCTTTGAAACAGTTGTGCTGTCGAGAGAACTGTTTTGTGGTTTGACTTTTCGTGTTAACAAGTAGAAGTATTGTGAGTGCTCTGGTCCAGGCAGCAGCCTAGTAGGTAGCTTTCTCTGTGTACCTTTTGTGTATCCCAGACCCCCCTTTTTTTTTAATGTATTTTTATTGATTTTAGAGAGAGAGAAACATTGATCAGTTACCTCCCACACGCACCCCAACAGAGGTCGAACCTCCAACTCAGGTATGTGCCCTGACTGGCAATCGAACTGGCAACCTTTTGGTTTACAGGATGACGCTCAACCAACTGAGCCACCCAGCCAGGGCCCAGACCCTTATCATGAACTGTGACCATCCACCTCATCCTGCTCACTCCAGCCAAGTGCTGGAGAAGTGCCTATTCACCTGAGAGCCATCCATCTCCCAGCCAGGGTTCCCTGGGCAGCCTTTCTGTCTACCGCATAGTCATAGGTGCAGTGTAAAAAGACTTCGTTCTCGGGGAGACAACAGCCTGGTGTAAGATGTATACATGTGGAAATTAGACACCAGTGCAGAGTGACTTTTGACTAGAACAGACAGTGCCATAATGAATTTCACAAGAGGAGGCAGGTCTAATGAGGGACTTGAATGAGGTGTTGAAAAAGGGTCAGACTTGAGCTAGGGGGTCTTCATGTTGCCTGGTGGACACACTTCAGCTTTCTAGTTTCCTTATGTTAGGCCCCACCTTGGCCACCCCAAAGCTGTGTCAGACAACCATCCTGTAGTCCCCATGCCACAATGAGCTTGCACCTTTAGTGACTGTTGCCACTCTTTTGTGCTGATTGTTTGCTTCTCTGCCTCACTGTTAGACTGTGAGCCCCTGTGGACAGGGAGTGTTTCTTGTTCCCTGTTGTGCCCACAATCTCTGTCATATTTATCGAATGAGTGAGCAATAGGGATGAAACCCAGCATAAAACAATCCATAAAATGCCTGCTGAAGTGGCAGAGGCAGCCATAGACTTGGCTCTGAACTTCCCGATGCCAAAGCAACCCTAGTAAGTCAGTGAGATCCACAGTGTCCAGAAGGCAGAAGATAGCCAGTTGTATCCCAAGTGTCTTTCATATGTCTTTACACTTTGCTGCGCTCTAAAGTACCAAGGACTGTATGTTGCTTTTCTAAGTAAAATAAAATTTATTGTGGGACAAAAAATCTGCTGTTAATGTGGGTAACTTAAAAGGAGACAGCTGGGTAAAAAGAGCAGGTTCCAGGAGACTCAGGTGAGGTGCCAAACTGAACAGTACGTTGTATAGGCGCTCGTACTACACAAATACACACTCAAGTCGTGGGTTCCTCAGATGCTGGTGGCGGAGGAGAATAACACGTGGGGGGAACCTGTAAGACGTGATGTTCTGGGTTGTATCTTAGAATACACATAAATGTCATCTGTCACCATCCCTCAGGCCCACAGGTGTCTGCAGCATTCCTCTTGCCATCACCCAGGGCTAGATTGGGTGATGTCCAAGTTCTGGCCCGGCATCCTCCCTCTGCCCCCCCAGCTTCCATTGGCGCAAGTGATGCCATCCACTTGCTCCTTCTGCAGGACATAGTCTGCCCCTTGAGCTTCCCTCAGCCCATGTCACACTAAGCCATGTTTGAGGATTGACAAAAGCTTCTGGAGATTTATGGCCTAGTTTCCCAAAGTCATGATCATGAGTCATTTCCTTTGACCACCTTGAGCTCCCAAGGACAAGTGTCCTGTCCAAGCAGAAGCCACAGAGGAGGGAGGAGAATCTGAGAGGAGAGAGACCGACCCCAGTGGCCCCAGTTGCTTCTCCAAAAGCTCCACCCCCTACAGCAGAGGCCCTTTGTGTAATCTGTGAGCCTTTATCTGTGACCCACATCTGACCCCTCTACCTGAAGGGAGGAGAGACAGACAGGTCTCGAGTCCCCTGGAAAGTAAAAAGTAGTTTGTATTTTACCTACATTTATTCATTCAACATCTATTTGTGGAGCCCATGCTACGTACCTGATCCTGATCTGGCCTTTGGGGTTACAAAAATGAAACGATGTTTCTGTGTCCCCAAGGAGGTTGCTAGCAGGGGCCACACAATTGATACAAGAAAAAAACTTTCTCGATCTTGCATTTCCAATATATATAATACACCTATCATTTCGCATATTAAACATCAGTAAAGCTTAACTGCTTTCTTACAGTTGTCTTTTTAAAATAAACTGAAGTTCTTTTTCTCTTCCCATACCCCAGGGCGATCTTGGACACCCCACTTTGAAGAAAACAAGCAATTATATATCAGACAATGGCCATGCGGGAGGGATGGTTACAGTGCTCTGGCACCCTGGGGGTAATGGTCCCCAGGATTGTGGCAGGGCCAGAGGCAGACCGGGTGCCACCCTGCTGGTGCCAGCTCCATTGTAATTGCACTTTCCCTTTCCAGGAAGAAAACAGTGCTCCCTTGTCAGACCAGACAGTCTGCCTCTGCTTAAGTTCCTCTTCGTTAAGGAAAGGTGAATCTCAGTAAGCTGTTCCAGCCTTTCTTCTCCCTGATTCAGGATAAGAGTGGTCATTGGGTTTATGATTATGGCTTTCTTTTCATCTCAAACAACTGCCTTCCATTATGGCCCAGCCTCTTCCTCATCAGGCACAGTGTGGCATTGATGTTTGAAACAGCTCAAGATTTCCAGAGAGGGAGCAGCCTTTATCTAGGGGAGGTGGAACTGGGATTCCCAAGCAGTGGTGTACTGGTCAGTAGTGTTTAACAGGAATCCCTCCAGGGTGGGGGAGCCCTGACAGGTAACCTATGCCAGTTCCCATGGTGTAAATAGTTCCACCATGGCTGATTTCGAGCCGCCAACGTGAAGTCACCCGACACGAATTTGAGAAATTGATCCACAGTGTATAGATAGTTAATTCAACCCCAGAGCATATATAATTATAAATTGTAAGCAAATAATTAGGAAGGGATGAGTTTAGAGTATCTTTGTTTTTAAGAAAATTGTCAATATAATTTTTTAATGATGGCTTACTTATAAATCAAAACCAAAAAGAGATCCTGAGAATTAACCAGTAGACTCATGAAGTGGTAGGAGCCAGCTCCAGCACACCACTGCTCGCTCAAAACTGTCCAGGAGCTTTAAGAGCCTGCTCTCAGACTCCGGGCAGCAGCTGAGGACTCCCCAGGAACAAAACCCCTCACCCTCAGAAGCGAGCTCTGCTTCTGGACACCGGCCAGCCCCCGGCCAGGTTGAACTGTCCAAGCTGCCCCTGTGCCTGCGCACAGCTCTCACCTTGGCAGTGAATGAACAGTGAGTCACCTGGGCACTGCCACAGAGGCAGACCCCAGACCTGGTTGCTGCTTTGCCAGGCTCAGGTCTCACAACCTCCTGGTTCTAAGGACAGACCCCAAATCCACAGAACTGAAAGTGACAATTATTGACAAAGACATTCAATAAGCTCTTAATTGAATCTTTTTGTTGTTAATCCTTACCTGAGGATATTTTTCCATTGATTTTAAGAGAGAGTAGAAGGGAGGGAGAGAGGGTCAATGTGAGAGAGACACATTGGTTGGTTGCCTCTGCACGAGCCCAGCTGGCCAGGGATTGTACCTGCAACCCAGGCACATGCCCTTAATTGGGAATTGAACCTGTGACCCTTCAGTGCTCCTGCTGACACTCACTGCTGAGACACACCGGCCAGGCCTTTTACTCGGTTCTTGATTCAAACAAACCAATTGTTAAAAAAAAATTTTGAGGTATTCAGGGAAATGTGGACATTGATTTAATGCCATTTGAAATGTGATAATGCTATTGTAGTTTAATTTCTTTTAAGTAAGTTCTTATCTTTTAGAGTAGACATTGGCAAACTAAGGCCCCACTTCCTGTGTTTGTAAGTAAAGTTTTATTGGAACACAGCCACGCCCACTCATTCATATATTGTGGCTGCTTGGAGGGCAGAGTTGAATAGGTGAAAGGAGACTATGGCCCAAAAGGCTTCAAATATTTACAAGCCTCAAATTATATAGAAAAAGTTTGCCAACCCCTGTTTTATAGAAACATCCTGAAGTATTTAACTACAAAATAATCATATGTCCAGGATTTGCTTTAAAAGAATTCAGTGGGGGAGGGAGGAAATGTAAGTGAAACAAGATGGGCTCTGAGGCAACGAATGCACCTAGGTTCATCATCCCAGTCTCTGTTTTTATGTATGCTTGAAATTTTCCATAAGCATTTGAGAAGGGAGGGCCTGCCCTCCACAATCTCCCAATCGTTCTGACCCCACACCAGGACTCTGGCACCTCTGGTCTAACAAGGGGATCAGGACAAAGCCACAACTATTCGCCCGGATGATGACTTCTGTCTCAGGCTAACCAAAAAGGTCATGGGAGCTGAGAGAGTCCCCCAGAGCCAGCCATGCAGTGAGTGTCCCCTCCCACCTCCCTGCACCGCCCTGGGGCCTGGGGGTTTGGAAACAGGAACAAGGGGCAGGAGGGCTCCGAGGGAAGGATGCCCCTGTCCAGGGATCAGGGCATCAGTAAGTCTGTCCTCTGCCCACTGCACCCCTCTTCTATCCAGGTCTGAGCCCCTAACTTCAGCCTAGGACCCTGGGCATCCCCTGGGAAGACCCTACCACTTTCTGAGACTCAGTAAAATTTTTAATACCCATCACTCAGGGTCTTTGGGGCAACTCAGAGAAAAGAATACACATAAGGCACTTGCCATGTCCCTCACACATCTGTGTGGCCACCATTGCCACTAGCTGCCCAGATGGGCCCCAGAGGCCCCCAGTAGCTGGGCCAGGTCTCTGCTTCAGACTTGACCTGAACCCCATTAGAATCATCCTTGTGGTGCTAGAAGCAAACCAAATACAGTAGGATTTTCTCCCTAAAGACGATTTTTGTTTGGAAGGACTGACATTGTTTTCTAGAAACTCCATCATAAAACCAGACTATCCCAAAATTAACTGAGGCAAACATACTCTATTTGGTGGGAAACCCAGGTCTTTCCCCCCATCTGCCCCACCCCTGATTCTCACAGTGTGTCTATAGCTCCTACCCACAAGCTTAGGAAACCTAATCCAAATCCTTTTCTTTCTCACCTGTTCCACCTTAATCCATACCCTAAATTTAACCCTGATACCAGTCTCCTCAGTATTACTGGGAATGGCTCTGGGAGGTCTGGTTACTTCCACCAAAGCATTCCAAATGACTCATGATCTCCTGTCCTCAAAACAACTTCCATTATGTGGCCTTCCTGCCCACCTTACCCAGGTCTCCGTCCTGACCATATCTGGTCACTCTTGAGAGTTCCACCCAACATCAGCCTAACCCCAGAAACAGTTGGCAATGTCTGGAGATATGTGTGGTTGTCACAGCTTGAGGGGCAAATGTCACTGGCATCTAGTTGCTAGAGGCCATTGATGCTACTCAGCACCCTACAGTGCACAGGGCAACACCCACAAAGATGTCCCCAAATAGCAATGGTGTCGGGGTGGAGAGACCCTGCCCTGGCCCCTTCCCTCATCCACGAGCCTGAGCTGTGGCTGATCTCTGTGGTTAAGAACAGGGCTGGAGCTAAGCTACTAGGATCGAACACAGGCTCTGCCTCTTCTTAGTGGGCGACCTTCTGGGCCTAAGTTTTGTACACTGTAAAGTGGGGACAACTGAGTCCCCCCCTTGTCAAGTTCCTTGAGTAAATGAAGATGAATGTACGAAGGGTCTGGCACACCCTGGCTAGTATGGCTCAGTTGGTTAGAACATCTTTTTTTTTTCTTTTTTTTAATGTTTTTATTGATTTTAGAGAGAGAGGAAGGGAGAGGGAGAGAGAGAAACGATGTACGCACCCTGACCCGGGAAAGAGCCCACAACCTGAGCTTGTGCCCTGATGGAATCAAACTGGGGACCTGTCAGTGCTTCACCAGCCTGGGCCCGTGTGGGGACTCCTTATAGCTGGGTCATCTTGTTCTCACTGCCTGCCACCTGCCCCTCAAGAGAAAAGTGCCCCAGAGACAGGGGTGGCAAAGACCAAAGGCAGAGAGGCAGAAGCCCCTGGGGCCCTTCCGAGGTGCCCCTGACGCTCGAGGCTGAGCTGAACCCCAGTGTTCTCCAAGTGGGGATGGTAGGGCTGGGGTGAGGGGCACTCAGGTCCCTTCCGGCATCCCCCATGGCAGCTGCCATTTCCTGAGGAGCAGGTTCTGGTATTGACCAGGTGCTGGTCACAGGCCTCACCTGCATTCATGGCCTCACCCTCCCACTCACAGCTGTAGACGAGCCACAGAGGGGAGGGTGCTTGCCCAAAGTCCTAGCTGGGAGGCGCCCGGCGCAGGCCTCAGGCGGCTGGCCCATGGTCCTGCCTCTGACCACTGTGCCACTGCCCGTGTGAGTCCCACTGTGGTGCCCAGTTCATGGAGTGGGAGAAGGAGAGATGGTGCAGAGTGGCCCTGGGGGAGGGGACAGAGGAGAGAGAGAGTGCTGCTGTCCTAGGACAGCCAAGGTTCAGAGGAGGCTGGGAGAGACGGGGATCCACAGAAATGGAGACAGGGAGCTGTGGGGAGAGGAGAGACAGAGAGAAGGTGAGAAAAAGGGAACAGAGAAGAGAGACAAGGAGCGGGGATGGGGAGAGGGGTACAGGGACGGAGGAGAGAAGGGCAGACAGACGAGCACAGAATAGGAGACTTCGGGACCAGGATCAGGGAACGTGGCCATAGGGGAGAGGGCTGAGGTAGGTGCTGGGCAGCCCCACAAGGAGTTACACTGGGGTGGGACTCAGGACCCTGTCGCAGTGGCCCTTGCTTCCTCTCCAACCCAGACACCACCTCCCAGTGAGAGTCATGGCCTTGTTGGGTAAGCCAAGCAGGGGCCCTAGGGGGTGGGGGCAGAACCTGCTCTTCTCCCCCCACATGTCCACTGGCCTGTCCTCCCCAGCCTGGCGCCTGCTTGCCGTGGTCCCCATTCTCCTTGGCCTGCTGGCCTCCCTCGAGTGGAAGACTGTCCACGGCCAGGACCCCTTTGAGAGGTGCATGCACGACTCAGACTATGAGCAGCTGCTCAAAGTTGTGACCTTGGGCCTCAACCGGACCCTAAAGCCCCAGAAGGTGATTGTGGTTGGTGCTGGTGTGGCCGGACTGGTGGCTGCCAAGGTGCTCAGCGATGCAGGACACAAGGTGAGAAGTGCTGCTTGCAGTCTGCTTTGAGCCTTTCCTGCTGCCTCTGAGGGACTTGGCCATGTCCCTGTGGAGGGTGGGGATGGTGGGGGATGGGGAGAGGGAGCTATGCTTCCCCTGGGGTCTGGAAGTGAGGCCTGAAACTCCTGCTCTACCTTGAGGAGAGTGTGGGCTGCACTGGGAGAGGCCTTCCACTCTCTGCTCTACTCTTTCTCATCCTGGAGGGAAGTCCCTGGAAACCTCCAAACTTCTGGGGGGAATTTGTATTGGTGGAAATGGACACTTAGCCCAAGGGGTAGTGACCCCTGAGGTCTCACTACTGTTGGTCTCACTGAAATCCAAGAATGAGAATTGGACCAGGCCAGGGGCTTCTTTGTAAATGGGAAATTTCCCCCTCCCTGAGCTCGGAAGTCCCTCTTTAATCTGGCCCGCAATCTTCCTGCTGCAGCCTGGAAGTTGTCATGTTGCACGCGCTCACTGTGACATTGTTCTCCCACCAGTCCTACCCACCTCCCTGTAAAGAAAGGGATCCTTGTCTCATCTAGGTCTGTGCTGCTGTGGGGATAGAAGGTCAGGGGCTGGCATGGGTGGGCCTAAGGATCAGTGAGAGGAGCTCAATGCCCCCCATCCCTCAGGTCACCATCCTGGAGGCAGACAACAGGATTGGGGGCCGCATCCTCACCAACCGGGACGAGAAGACGGGCTGGATTGCGGAGCTGGGAGCCATGCGCATGCCCATCTCGCACAGGTGAGGCTTAACCTGGCGCCAAGTGGGCCCCTGCTCTGAGCCCAGACTCCACCAGAGACCCAGCGTCCAGCTTTGTTATTTTCCTAATCCCAGCCTCACCACTGTACCCCTGAAGTGCTTAAGCCACCAAGTCCAGGTATACCCCTAGCTAGTCCCACCCAGTGCCTCAGGACCCCCAGCTCTGCCTCCCCTGACCTTGGTCCCTTCCCCATCCCAAGCCTCCATCCAACCCCAGTGAAAGCCAACACCCGCTCCCAGTCCAATCCTACACCCGGACTGCCCTCAGCCTTCCAACCTTGATCCCATTTCACTCCTTCCCCCAGCACTGATGACCCCAAATCTAGCCCCATTCCAGCCTCATGCCCATCCCCAAACCCCATCCCTGGCTGCCCTACCCACCTTCTTCTGTTCTTCAAGCCCCACCGGGAGAGGGAACCCCTACTCCCCCTGACAGACCCGCCCCAGTCTTGTCTGCTCCCTCAGGATCCTCCACGAGCTCTGCAAGAGCCTGGGACTCAACCTGACCAAATTCACCCAGTATGACGAGAACGCATGGACCCAGGTGGGCGACACAAAGCTGCGGAACTACGTGGTGGAGAAGATGCCGGAGAAGCTGGGCTACGAACTGAGTCCCCAGGAGAAGGGCCACGCGCCTGAGGAGATCTACCAAATGGCTCTCAACAAGGTGGGCACACCCCCCGGTCCTGCAGCCCTGGCCTCCCCACTGCTGCCCCCTGTGCCTCGCCTTCCCCTGGCCTGGCTTTCCTTCTCTCCCTCATGCCTCTGGTCTCCAACCACCACCTCTTCCATATTTAGTTTCACCACAAACTCTGCCAATCCCCAGAGCTCCATCAGCCTTTGGTCTCTGATCCCCTTGTCACCCATCCACTGTCCTGGACAACCTCATCTTTCTACATCTTTGGCTTAAACTTTGATCTGCAGGCACGTCTTCCAGATCCATCCCTTGAGACCCACACCTACATCCATCTCCCCTGGCCACCCCTAGGACCCTGATACTGAGCTCAGTATCTTCCCCTAAACCCTCTCATACCCCTTGGTTCACCATGTCACAACAGCTGGGCCCCAGCTCAGGCCTCATCCTTCCCCCTGGATCCTGCCTGCTCTGCCTGGAAGACCCCTTTCCCTTTCCCACCCAGGGAACCCTTGAGGGCAAGAACCAGCTCCAATGTCCCCTCTTCTAGGAAGCCTTCCCTGATGCCCTCAGGGAGGAGCCAGCCTCCCCCTTCTCTGGCAGCTCCTAATTGTCCATCTCCTCTTCTGGATGAGGGTGGGCACTGAGTTCAGGCCATTTCTGTGTTGGCCTAAAGAAACTCGAGGTGAATGGTGTGTGCGTGCGTGAGTGAGTGAAGGGCACATCCTTCAGGGAGTTCCGTGGCCACACTGGGAAGCCAGGTGGATAAAGAAGGGGCTAAAATCAGAGAGGGCAGGGAGGAGACGAGGCTGGAGCAGAGTGGTGAAGGATGGCCGCTGGTGCCGGGATTAGCCAGGACATGTGCAGGCTGTGGAGGTGGAGGAGAGCTGGGGGTGGTCTGGGAACTGGATATTGTCCTTAGAACTGGAGCTTCCTTAAGAGATAGTGATCAAGGGGATGGCAGGGGCCTCGGGTGCCAGGCCAAGGGCCTGGAACTCTGGCTACAGGTGCTGGGGAGCTGTGGGAGAACTACAGGCAGGGGAGGGACTGGTGAGTAAACCCCCTCAGCAGTCACGCTGGGCAGAAGGAACTCCGCTTCAGTCTGTGCTCACAATGATCCAGGAGAGAGTTACTGGGCCCCAGAATGACAGGGCATTGAGACAGACACAGTCCCTGCCTACACGGAGCTCACAGCCCAGGACAGGCAGACGCAGGCGAAATGGTGCCGACTGGGATGAGCGTTCCAGTGCCCAGGTAGCAGGGGATGGGTGGCAGGAATGACTCAGGAAGGCTTCCCAGAGAGGTAATATCTGAGCAGCAGTGGAGGGCGAGGCTGAGGGCACAGCATGGCCAAAAGCCTGGCAGCGTGAACAGAGTGGTGATTGGCCAGCCACAGGCAGGGGCAGGAAGAGGACCTAGGTTTGGACCCCAGACCCTGCCTCCGCCTTCGTGTCCCACAGCCCCACACTCTCTGCTTGTTCCACTGCAGGCCCGTGAAGATCTCAAGTCACTGGGCTGCCAAAAGGCCATGAAGAAGTTTGACAGGCACACACTCCTGGTGAGTGGGGGCCTTGGTGTCCCTTTCTGAGACCAGGGCCAGGAGGGTGCCCATGGGCTTTCACCCTGGAACCAGAGACCAAGCCCTGACGTAGCCTCCCTGCCTCAATACGGGGCTGGACATGCCCCCTCTGTGGGCTTCAATTTTCTCATCTTTCACAAGAGGAGGGGGGATGGGATCAGTAAGGTCCAGGGAACCTACTGAGGTCTCCATGGTGTCTGTAATGGGGAGGCTCAGCTGGGGAGGGACCCTGCAGGAGTGGGGACAGAAGTGGCAGGTGCAACCTCCCTGGGCCCTGACCTGGGCCTGCACCTGCACCTGTCCCCCAGGAATACCTCCTCAGGGAGGGGAACCTGAGCCAGCCGGCTGTGCAGCTCTTGGGAGACGTGTTGTCCAAGGATGGCTTCTTCCATCTCAGCTTTGCGGAGGCCCTGCGGGCCCACAATAGCGTCAGCGATCGCCTCCGGTGAGGGGCGGCGCCTGCGGGGCCACTGGGGGAGTAACAGAGTGGTGGGGGCCTCCGAAATTGGGCTGGCGAGAAGGGCGCAGCTTGTAGGGAAGGGGCCAAACCGGTCTGTGGGTCTGGGGCTGGCCACACTCCCCCCACATGCCGGGTTTCTGGAGGAAATGGGTAAGAAAGGTTCCCGGGGAGCCCTGCGTGGTCCGGCACAGAAGAGGAGGGTTCCTGGGCCACACAATTCTCTGCTTCCCAGTCCAAGGTCGTCAGGGGGGCTTCAGGGTGTGGTGGGTGAGCGGGTGTTGTTTGCAGCTATCATGGGCAGTAATAGAATGTGATTAGAGGGCTCCGGGCGGGTGGAAACTGGCACAGGCACCAAGGAGCGCGCAGGGAGCGGCCCGCGAGCCCGGGTCACGCTCCTGTCCCCCTCCCCCAGGTTCAGCCGCATCGTGGGCGGCTGGGACCTGCTGCCGCGCGCGCTGCTGAGCTCGCTGTCGGTGCCTATGCAGCTGCGCACTCCCGTCGGGGGCATAACGCAGGAGGTGCGCGAGGTGCGGGTGCACATAGGGACCTCGCATCGGACCCGGAACGCGAAGACCATGTCCGCTGACGTGGTGCTGCTGACTGCGAGCGGGCCGGCGCTGCAGCGCATGAAGTTCTCGCCCCCGCTGCCCCGCCAGTGGCAGGAGGCACTGCACGAGCTGCACTACGTACCAGCCACCAAGGTGTTCCTGAGCTTCCGCCGGCCCTTCTGGCACGACGAGCACATCCAGGGCGGCCACTCGACCACGGACCGCCCCTCGCGCGTGATCCTCTACTCGCCGCCGGGGGAGGGCGCGCTGCTGCTGGCCTCGTACACATGGTCCGATGCGTCGGCCTCGTTCGCGGGCCTGAGCACTGAAGACTCGCTGCAGTTGGCACTGGATGATGTGGCCACGCTGCACGGGCCCATAGTGTACCGGCTCTGGGATGGCAGCGGCCTCGTGAAGCGCTGGGGGGAGGATCCGCACAGCCAGGGCGGCTTCGTGGTGCAGCCACCTACGCTCTGGCAAGACAAGGATGGCCGGCAGGAATTCAGCTGGGCGGAACCCTTTGATCGCATCTACTTTGCTGGGGAGCACACTGCCTTCCCACATGGCTGGGTGGAGACGGCGGTCAAGTCAGCGCTGCGGGCCGCCGTGCGGATCAATGACCAGAGCCACAGCCAGATCAACAACCGGGATAAAGCTCTGCACCCGGTGGAGCCCAATGAGGTGTCGGAGGCACCTGTGGACTGCCAGCCCCAGTGCAAGTCTGTAAAGGGGGAGACCACCTGCATCCCAACCGTACCCATGCCAAGCACTCCAGGGGCGACCAGCCAGACGACTGAGTATTAAAGTATTTTCAGAAAAAGCCTTGTGGTCCTGCCCCTTCCCTGGCTCATATGCCTCCCCAATTTGCTTGGAGCAAAGCCATTAGCCCTCATGGTAGAAGGGGCTATGCCTTTCCTGGAGCCCCAGAAACTGCCCGGGCGGTGGTACTTCATTGAGTGACGGACTTGGCTCTGCACCATTGGTTAGTGGTAACCACAGTGCCCGCCGCCACTGTCACAGCAAGATGGGGCCTGATGCAAACAACAGAAAGCCAGACCAACAGTGGTTTGAACACAAGTTTATTTTTCTCAAGTAACACAAAGCTGGCAGGCAGGGTCCTCAGAGTGTTTGAGCAGCTCTGTAGGCCCTTCCATCTTGGTTATGTCCAGGATGTGTCCCCGCACCACTATTAGGTGGCAGCCGCACCCCAGCACGCCACCTCCTCCAAAAGTCCCAAACTCAGGCAGGCGAGACCTGCCTCCACAATCCCCCCCACCTTATCCCCAAGGGACCTCCTCTTACGTCTCATTGGCCAGGTTAGGGGGTCCGTGGTCAGACACCTGCTTTGCAGTGGTCAGAGGGGACCATGTACCACCCTTCCCCATTCAGGTTCAAGGCAGCGTGGCAGCCTCCTTCCTACACCTACAGGAGGCCAACTGGACACCAGAAATGTCAGTTAATGAAACCAGCTAATCAGGAAGGCGTGGGAGGAGAGGCGGGAACCCCACCCCTTTGCTTGCTCCATCCCCAGCCTCCAGGGTATGGTCACCCGGTGGGAGCTGGATAAAGTGCTGGGGGTGCGGAGCGGTGGGCGGTAGGGGGGCTGCCGCCAGCCCAGCAACTTAGGAGCCCGCGCCTTCCTCCTCTTCCTCCTCAGGCAGGATCTCCAGGCTGCTGTCCGGCTGTGGGGCTGTGTCCGCGGGGAGCGGCGGGGCTGGTGGGACCCGGGTGGGTGACAGCGGCAGTGGGGAGGCAGGAGGCGAGGGGCTGTGGGGCTCTGCAGGTGGGGCCAGACCCAGGACCTCCTGCACGTTGTGGGGCAGCTCCTGGAGAGTTGGGGAGTGGGAAGCCAAGTCAGAAGTTTGAGGGCCAGGGAGTGGGGCTGTTGGGAAGGTGGGGGACTCACCGCGCAGGCGGTCAGCTGCCGGTACAGGGCCTCGGCCCTCGTCAGCACGTCCTCCACGCTCAGCTTCATGGTCAGCTCGTTGATGTGCTGCGGGAGGGGGCGAGTCAGGCCTGCCTGAGGCACTCCACCGCCACTGCCAGAGCCCTCTTCTGTGCCACACAGTGGAGGAGAGACAGGGCGGGCCCTCTTGGGGCTTATAGTGGAGCTGGGGGTCAGGGGAGCTCTCCTTGGCTTCTTGCCAGATGCAGGGTAACAGGAAGGGAAAGAGCACCGAGCTCCACCCCAGTGGCCCGCCCAGCCCCCATTCAGTACTGGGGGAGCCCCCTCACACACAGACCAGGTGCTCTCTGAGGACAGCACTGGGAGCCAGGGATAGGATGGGGTAGGAGGAAAATAGAACTGGTCTCAGGGCTGTGTGCTCAGAGCTAACCATACTTTCAACAATCCTATTTTGAGTACCGACTACTGAAAAGTACAGTGGCCACAGGCACAGTGCCAGCCTCCATGAAGTTCACTTCCAGCTGCTGTGTCCCATCAGCACAGGTCAGGATGGGCAGGGGAAAGGTGATGACTAGAAGGGATCTGGGCCTCACCTTAAGGATCTCATTGGAGCCGAAGCCCGAAAGCATGAGGGTGTCCCGCTCCATGTCCAGGATGGCGCAGGCCACCAGCAGGTGCAGATTGGGCCCGGGAAGCCCTGTCCACAGTACCTAGGAGTGCCAGAGGGAGGGGTCACAGCCCAGCCTCTGCCTGAGGTTTCACCCAGGTCTGCCCCTGCCTCAGCCCCCCTCCCACAGGTCTCCACCCAAGCTGGCTGGCCCACCTCCCACAGCCGAAGAACATCTGGGAAGGGGAATTCCCTCTTGAACCAGATGAGCAGCCACCGGAAGCAGAAGCAGAGAGAGCCAGAGTCCTGGGAGTCTAGAGGAGGACAACGGTGAGAGGGGTGGTGCTAAGCAAAGAGCAAACTCAAATCAATGGCCACCTCATTCTAATTCACAGTGTGCCCAGTGGTGGGACTGAGACTAAGTGACCCTGACTGGGAGACCCTCCATCACTCAAGCCCAGCGTGGCAAAGCCTCTGAGCTGAGACAGGAGTCCTCTGTGTTATAGGAACCTTTCCCATCCACCTTGCAAACCCCAGCCAAGGTAAGCTGTACCATGTTTTCTACTCTCACATGGAGGGATGCAGTGAAACCCACTGCTGGTGGAGGTGTGAGGAAACTGCGAGCAAAAACGAGGTTGGTATAACTTTCCAGGAAAGCAGTGATGGGCACACACATTTCAAAAGCTAAAATATATGTACTGCCCTAGATACAATTTCACTTCCTAGAATTTTACCTAAATTATCTAGACTATATTCGTCACGATGAAAAACTGAAAAAACCTAAATGTCCAGGTGGTCAGGTGAAATCTGTTCTTGTACATTGTTAAGATGGACAGAACACTGTGCAGTCAGTAGCAGTGATGGTTTGAAAAATGTTTAATGGCCATGGCCAGTGTGGCTCAGTTGGCTGAGCATCGTCCTGTGCACCAAAAGGCTGCAGGTTCGATTCCCAGAGGTAGGGGCACATGACCGGGTTGCAGGCTTGATCCCTCGTAGGGGGTGTGCAGGAGGCAGCCGATGGATGTTTCGCTCTCACACAGATGTTTCTCCCTCTCCCTTCCTCTCTCTCTAAAAAACAGGAATAAAAAAAGCTTAAAAAAAGAAACTTTTAATGACACAGGCAGCTGTGTCCAACTGCTCTGGGAACTGGTACCCGCCTTCTGGGCCTCAGTGTCCTCTCCAGTGTACCAGTGTCCTCACACAGGTGAAACCAGTGTATCTCCCTCCCCTGGGGTGAGGCTACATTTCAGGGAAGAAATACCCATAAGTAAGTTAACTTAAAATCTGCACTCAATATCAACAGGAGCTTCTAACTTTCTTCCCTGTATCGGAATTTCTTGCATTTTTTACACTGAACAAGTAATGAAGAGATATTTTAAGGCCAGAATGCAGCAGTCCCAGCACCAGGAGTCCAGAGAACCAGTTTCCAACTCCTGGCTCAAGGTGAGTGGAGAGGAGATGTGCTCGGAGTTCATCTGAGGGGTGCGGACTGATGGTGGCATTCAGCAGCAGCTCGCGGCAGGCGGGTGCACAGCAGCGCACATTCCGGCGCTTGCTGAGGTTTTGCTCCCAGCTGCAACCCTGCTCTTACAGGTAAGTTTTGGGTTCTGGGTTATGCCAGGTGCTTTTCTTGCTTGGATGAGGACCAAATGTCCTAGACACCGTCTGTGGCCGCTCATTCCCAGAGACTCTTTGGTAATATCTGTGGCCCTGCCACCCCTGGCCCACCCACCAAGACACATACCCAGGAAGTCACAGAGCTGTGGGTCCAGCACCCGGAGGAGCAGCAGGAGCTGCCCGAGTTGCCGCTTCATGGTCTCCTGACTCTCCTCAAAGTTCCCGTGCTGCGGGGGTGGGGGTGGGAAGCATGTGAGGGGCTGCACCCGATCCTTTGAAGGGGACCTATCTCCCACCCTGCTCTGAGCCTCACCACAAGCTCCATGAAGCCACAGAAACACCAGAAGGCATCCACCTCATTCTGAACGACGTAGAGGATTGGAGAGAGGAGGTCACTCATGCCCTGGACGTAGCCTGTGGGGATGCGAGGTCAGTGCCTGGCCCAGGCCCTCAGCTCCCCCCCTGCTCTCCCTCCGGTGCGCACCAAGGTCAAAGTGGTACATGCAGTAGGTGAGGAGGATGTCATTTAGCAGGCCCAGCCCTGGGTTCTCGGGACCTTCATAGAACTTGTTGGTCCTGTCTGTGCGGCTCACATCTCTCTCTGTGGGGACAGGGTGCAGGGAGCAAAGGTGAGAAAGGTGTGGAGAGGCCTCAGCCCTGCTGGCCACTGGCAACTGCCCCCTCTCTCCTCACCGGCTGGTCCCCAAACCAACTGAACGCTATGGAGTGAGGCACTCTGCTTCCTGCTCACCACACCCTCCTAGCAATGGTTACTAATCATCGCAAACGGGGAAACTGAGGCCCAGGGGTAAAATCACTTGCCAGGATCTCACAGTGAGTAGATGGCAGAGTTGGAATTTAAACTCAAGGAGCCTGGCTCTCCTCCCTCTCCCCCACTACCCTGTCCTTGGCCCCTCCCACCCCTGCTCACCCCCATCTCCCCCAGATGCCCTCATCCCTGCTTGTAGGGAGGCAGGGGGTCCCTCCAGCCCGACCCACCGATGAGACTGCGGTATCCGTGCAGTAGCGAGTTCCTCCGCTCCTGCTCGGGGCTCACCGATTTCCACTGCAGCTTCATTCTGAAATATTCGTCCCTGTGGGGCGGGAGAGGCTGGTGTGAGGTACTCTGCCAGCTCCGCAGTCTTCTGAGCTCAGCCCAGGTCACTGCCTTTGAGCCCCTCCCTGGCCACACAGACCCAAGAGGGCCCCCATGCTTCCCCGTCCTGACATCTCCCGACACAGAACACCCTGTGGGCTTTTGTTGAAAGTCTGTCACCACCACCAGGTGTAGTGACCAGGACATACAGCAGGGTCACTGTGTATATGAGGAATGAGGAGAGGTGGGCCCCATGGATAAACAGCAAAGTAGCGACCACTGAGACAGTGTGGTGCCAGGATGAAACAGCCATGGAGACAGGGACAGGCCCAGCCCATCTGCCTCTGTCTCCCCCGTGCACGGGTGGTGCCCAGCACAGGACAGGCTCCCAACCGATGTGTCGATGTGCCGCATGTCCTGCTGGCCACTGGGACATGTAGATCAAAAACCTCCAATCCATGATGGAGGCTGGGAGGTCAGAGGCTGGAGGTGGCCGGGGTGGGGCTGCAGCTTCTCACTCACGTTTTCTTGCGCACATGTGCCTTGTGCTCCTCAGCTGAGCCCTCCCAGCTGAGGTA